CTATCCAGGCCTCCTTCTCCAGATCTACCCTGCCCCACATCTGTTTTGCTCTCCCCCTGTTGCAGCGAGCGTTGCTGGTGTATCTGTCCATCTCCATATCAGCTCTCTCCCACCTCCACCTCCTGCATGCCAGGGTTCATCACCCCTATCTTGGGGTGAGTGGTGGTAGCAGCATCCCCCCTCTTCCCTTCTCCAGACCGGGTCTTGCAGCAATGGAGAGGAGAAGCCGGGCAGAAAGCACCTAAGGAGGGCAGGGCAAGAAGGGCTTGCAGCCTCTCTGAACTGCTGGCACGCCTGCTTCGTCCCTTCCTATGAAAACAATATTGGCTCCTCCCGAGGCGAAGAGCTCAGGCCAAAACCTACAAACACCCCAACTGGCTGCCCTTCCTAGGAGGTGGGAGAGCAGGGTTATCTTTCCCCTGAACTCATCAATAGGGTGGACCTTCTGCCTTCAGCAAGAGACCAGCATCAGACCTGGCACCCAAAGAAACCACAAGAACCAGGAGCACCCTGCCTATTGCCCCTCTGACATCAAAGGAGTCATGTCTGGGGGCAACTGCTTCATGCATAATGCACCAGCTAATAACAGGAGTCCTTTATTCATGTTAAACTCCCTTGGCTCTGTTTTAAAGGTGCTAGACATGAAGGTGCTTCGGTTCATCGTTCCAGACTGATTGCAGGGGGTCTCCTCCAAACACTTCCCTCCAGCAACTGGAGTCCATCCTCCGGGTCCTCCAGACGTGCAGCGACCGCTGCTGGTGGAAGACACAGAGCCGCTGTTTCTCAAGAAGTGTCTCAGGTCTATTAAAAACACACAGGTGGCCTTAAATACTGAGCAGATTGCATGGGTGGTATTTTACAACTACCAGCCCTAAAGGTTTAAATAAAGAAAGACATGAGTCAGACCCCGAAGCACATGCAATTGGCTCCAAATGATGAGATCATTAAAAAAAAAAAGATGACATTGGGTTCTTTGCATTGGCCTGCTGATTTCGGAGTCTGTTCTCAGGCTTTTCTCTGCAACGCGAAGGCGAGACAATAACTACCAATTTTATTCACATAGCACCCTCCAATAAGACAGTCACCTGGTTTTGGGAAAGCAAAATGAAGTTAAAAAGATAGTTTTCCTTTTAACCAAATTGTTCAGTTTCCTTGTCTAAGACGCAACTTTCCATAGCTCATGTTTGGGGAAAAGATGAGTGGGGCCCGTGGAAAAAGGTCTTTCTCTTCATAAAAGGCTCAGCCTGCAGGCAATGACATGATTCCAGAAATAAGAAGAACTGCAGGAAATCACAAGAGCTGGTGACTGTGTTTCCCACCCCCAGTTGCATTTCCCAAAATCTAGGACAATTTATCATTCAAGGAATATTTTTAGACTTTGAAAATGTGCCCAAGGGAGGGGCATATTATTCTTTACAGAGGCATGATAGCGGCACCCACACATACACATGTACATGCGCATGCACACCTAAGGGAATAAAAGAAATTCCATCGGTACCGAAATCAGCATCCTGCCCTGCCTCTTCCTTCCACCTCAAGATTCACGTGGACCTTATGCAAGAGGTTGGAGAGGCTGAGTTGTAACCAAGTCTATGGATGGGTTGAAAAAAACAGAGTCAAGGGGCTTCTCCGGAGAACTCGCTCCCCCCAGCAGGCAAAGGTCTGTGACTGTGGTTATTTCTTTGTATCATGGTGGAATCAAGAGTGCTCACCTGAGCTTGGGGTCCCGCGTGTGTTAGAAGCTGTTTGAATACTCAGTGGGAGTGTCTAGACGTGCACTTACACTGGCTTAAATTTACTGCACAGTAAGTCACTGTGCAGTAAGTGGGACTAGGCTGGTGTCTACAAGTGCAGGCGTTAAAGCGCATTAACACTGAGTGTGGACGGACTTGGGACTAAAGTTAGTCCCAAGTAAGTTCACACGCAGTGTTACTGCACAGTAAGCAGGAATAGGCCAGTGTATACACATGCAGGCGTTAAAGTGCATTAACCCTGAGCGTGTACTGATTTGGGACTAAAGTTAATCCCAAATCAGTTCACATGCACAGTGTTACTGCACAGTAAGCAGGAATAGGCCAGTGTATACACATGCAGGCATTAAAGTGCATTAACACTGAGTGTGGACTGATTTGGAACTAAAGTTAGTCCCAAGTCAGTTCACATGCACAGTGTTACTGCGCAGTAAGACGTCTACACGTGCGTTACTGTGCAGTAACTAATCGGGTGTAAATTTGATACCTGCATAATGCCAGTATCAAATTTACGCTCGAGTTGGCAGAAGTCACCATATTTACTGTGCAATATGGGTATGAGCATGTAGACATGTACCCGTACTGCGCAGTAATTTTGGTTGCTGTACAATAAATGTGCATGTGTAGATGTGCCCAAGAGTGGTGCTACCTGCTTGGAAGATCTTGAAGGCTGAGGATTAGGACTAGGATAAGGGTTAGGGTTATTCCAAGTCACTAGGAAGTTAGTGGAAGTTGTCTTCATTTATTACTGGTATTTTTATTACCGTAGCACCTAGAAGCACTTGTCTAAACCCAAGTCTTAGCAATGAGGTTGTCTTCCTTGAGGACGGCCACTATGAATCTGTAAGGCCAACAGGACACAACCATTTAGGGCTCTGTAGATCAATAGGGGCATGCCAAAATCTGGCTTGTATAGAGGGCACTGCTGTAGTCCTCTCTAGAAGGCAGTGATTCAGTGGACCACTGGCAGTGATTTTTCTCATGCTTGATTTTTATCTGTGTTGCAAGAAAAATCGTATCTGGTCATGTCAAGCTGACCAAACTCCCAGAAGTCTTTTTGAGATGACTCAAAATTGGCAGTGATTGTGGCCTAAAGTTAACCCCAGTAAAATGCCAGGGAACATGGCACATTTAAAACAATGGAACAATAGATCATAATAACAGACAATAAAATAATAATGTGATCATTTTTGGCAGTAATTACTTTGGGGATGGGAAAATAACAGGAAAATATTCTCAAGGTGCAAGGATGTGCTGTTGTATTTTTAGGACCTATGAACCAAAATATTAGATAACAAGCTTGGCTAGTATTGATAATGTTGATGTGACTAAAGGAAATAGCCTAAGCAAGTAAAGTCAGGGTTCGCTGTTTGCTGCATGCTATCTGGACTATTTGCATGAGTTTCTGAGGGAGACATCGGCATGAATCTCTAAAGGAGGACCAAGCCGTCGGACTTGGAACAAGATCGCAACCCAGGAAGTTTTCTGGTGCATCCCCCCTGGCCATGATGCTCCTGCTGGGACTTAAAGCTGGAGGTTCCTAGCTAGAGGGTCTTGCCCCTCCACCCAGGGTCAGACTGATGCCAGACTTGGGGTCAGGAAGGAATTTTTTTTCCTTGGCCAGATTGGTACAACTGTGGGGGGGCGGATGGGGGGTTGCCTTCCTGTGTAGTGGAGGCAAAGCCACCATCTGGGATCTCTTGAGTGCATATCAACAACCTTTTGCAGAAGCAAGACATTGACTGCCATGGTTCCCGGCTCTACCGGTGGCAGATTTGGGTGTGATATCTTGTGTTATGTCAGAGTTAACTATATAGTTTTGCCAAGAAGTTAGATTATGGATTTGTCTGGGATGGTTTGGAGAGGGATGATGCTGCCTCAGGCAGGGATTGGACTAGATGTGAACTCTGGAGGTCCCCTCCAGCACCACTTCTCCACGAGTCTGTGGTTGAATGATTGCAGATACATGCCTGCCCAAGCAGGCCTGGATCAAGTGACTGGTCTGATCCCAGAGACGTTACCTAAGTAAAAGCTTTGACAAAGCACCTACTTGGGTGGAGGAAGGAAATGCTGTGTAGAGTGTGTATCTGGATTTCAGCAAGGCTTTTGACAACATCCCAAATGACCTTCTCATAAACAAATTGGAGAAATGTGGGCTGGATAAAACTAGTACAAAGTGGATAGATAACTGGCTCAATAGCCATAAACAAAAGGAAATTATGAACAAGTCCATGTCAGCATGGCATGAAGTTTTGCGTGGAGTCCCAGAGAGTTCTGCCCTGGGCCTGGAGCTGCTCAACCTACTTATTAATGATTTGGATGCTGGCATAGAAAGCTTCTTGAACAAATTCATGGATGACACAAAACTAGGAAGGACTGTGCACACATTGGAGGACACGATAGCGATTCAGAAGGATCTTGACAACTTGGAAAGTTGGGCAGGAGGTAACAGGATGAAGTTCAATGTGGACAAATGCAAATTGCTACACCTTAAGAATAATAATAATCAAAAAACCCAACAAAATAAGGACACCTGCCCGGTGTCCTTATTTTGTATTTTTGTCCTTCTATGGAAAAGGACTTGGGCGTCTTGGTAGCCCATAAAGTCAACATGAATCTGCAATGTGATGCAGCTGCACAAAAGGCCAATCCAGTGTTGGCCATCATCAATATAAGCACGAGGTGCAAGACTTGGGAGGTTATGGAGGGTCTTGCCCCTCCACTCAAAGTCAGACTGATCACCATATTTGTGGTCAGGAATACCACGCTCAAATTGGTATGGACTATGGGGTTGTTTTTGCCTTGCTCTGTACCTGGGGGCACAGCCCTGTACTCAGGACCTCTTGCATGTATGTGGACAACGTAGTAGAGAAGCAGGAGTGGTTCCTCTGATTTACCCGTGGCAGGTTTGGGTGTTTGGTCTCTGTTGTACCAGGGTTGAGGGTCGTCTTACGTAGAGTTTAGAGGATGGTCGTATGGGATGGTTTGGATAGGGAGGATCCTTCTCTGCGATTCTGTGTCAAAGCACCAGCTGTAAGGAACTGCTGGGAGCTTTCACTCTGCATTGCACCCATCCTATTCCCCCCGAGGGCAACACAGGCTGTGATGATAACTCCCCTCCCACACAGATTGCACACCTCCAGAAAAATGTGGTGCCTCAGCCCCAGTAGGAACCCGCCTTCCACATTGCTGTCTCCAGAGTCACCAAAGCAAAATACAAGGGGACGTATAAAATCACCATCACCCAGGGGAAGGATCTCATTTTGGGCCGCTGAGAGCAACCTGGGACGATGAGGACTATGCTGGTGGTACTGCTGGCCGCTGCCCTGTGTATGGGGCAAGGTGAGTCATCCTTTGGGCAGAGGGAATCCAGATGTGGAAGGCAGCCTAGCCAGGGGGGTAACAGCTGGAATAGATGGGGCCGTCACAGCAATAGCAGTGGAGATACCAGAGGGAATGAAGCTGCCAGTTTGACCCCATTTTTGGTTTTTTGAGGATCTTAAGGAAGTAGGGCTGGAAGAGGCCCCTCAAGGTCATCTAATCCGGCAATTTGCTCAAAGCAGCATTATCCCTCGTTAAACCCTCCCAGCCTAGTGTCTGTCCAACCTGCTCTTGAAAACTTTCAAGGACGGGCTAGTTCTTTCAGTGGAGGATCCTGGTGTGAACAGTAGAATAAATGGGTCTTTTTTGTTGGCTTTTTTTTTGGTTGAGCTGAATGCATTTCCCTAAATATTATCTCCTGGACTAGGTAACCTGGGTAAATTTCCAAGAGAAGACAGAGGGAATGTCTTCGCTGGTGAGAAAGGCTTGTTCTTGACTCAGGTTGGCTGCTTCAAGTCAGCTACCTCAGGGTACGAGAGCGCCGAAAGCAAGGTGACTTGGCTTTTAACCCGGATTAAGAGATCAAGTTTGACCTAATAGGGGTACTTGAGTTTAAACTCAAGCTGCTAACCCAGATTCAGAGCCAAGATGCCTTCACTGGTGGTTTAGCCTGAGATCAAAGCACCCTTTCCTTTAGCAACGATGAGAGATTATAGGCGTGTTCCCAAAGCCAATGGAAGTCAAAAGAAAGACCGTCATTGACTTCCCTGGGCTTGGACAACGGCCCCTAGAGACTTGTCTAGCATCATAAAAGCATAAATTATTGCTAATGATTGTGGAACAGCTAATTTGGTGAATAGCAAGTGTGGACAATATCTTTATCCCCCACCTGTGAAAGAAAGGGGGTGTTGATTTTCTCCAACCGTTGCAGTCCACCTCCTGTCTCCTTTGCCAGTCCTGGACCACAGGACCATCTTTTCTCATTTGATTTTGCTAACTTGAACAGTTTCCCCACCTCTTATGCAGCATCAGTGGGCAGTTTTAGACAGGAGCAGTGTTGCGATGTGTGGGTTGTGCAGGCAAGAGGTAGTTCAGGTGTAAGACCATCACCCCCCTCTACCTTGCACCGGTCCGGCACCTGCACACTCCCCTGGCTTCGGGGGTCCCACTCCAGCTATGCAAGAGGCCAACCCAGTGGAGAACCAGTAAGAGGAACTAAATCATTACATACATTCATCTACCCTGCTTCACTCCCTAGCTCACGCTCTCTATTGCTTCACCTGTGAATGGGAATCCAGCAACTGGAAATGTCTGAACTTGACAAAGTGCACGGATGAGGACTCCTTCTGTGTGACGAACATAGCCGCTATAGACGTTGGTAGGTGTTGGGGTCCCCAGTGCAGGCTTTAGGGGGTTTTACAGGGTTAGGAGAAGTGGCAGGTGCAGAGAACAGCCTGTTGGGAAGGCGGAGATGATCTGAAGCAGCTGACGAGACCCCGAGCTTGGCAAGGCTTGAAATTCAGGGGCAGGTCCCAAAGGCTTACGACTGTCCCCCAGAGAAGCCTGGAGATGAGATCTCCATCCAGGTGTGACTGTTGTCACCTGAGCAGCATCTCACCCAAGATAGCCCTCAGAAAATCAATTAGGGCCCAATCCTGGGAGACATTGACTACCTGCCACGAGAGTCTCTGGTCCCAGCAGGACCCAGCATCAGCAACGCCTCGCAGGGGGCTACTGGTATTTGTTCCATGGGCCAATATCTCCAAAGTCTCTGTCCCATTGCAGAACCTGCTGGTGCCACTGGAGACTCCCCTTGATCATTCAGGACCTCAGGGGCATGGGGAAACACCCCTAAATAACCATTCTTTCTTCTCTCTCCCATGGTTAAGTTGGCTGGAAACTGGGGAAGAAGATCAACAAGAAATGCTCCCCTCACTGCCCAGACTCCAACGTGCACATGGGCATAGCCTCTTTCTCCACTTCTTGCTGCAAGTCTTCCCTCTGCAACCTCTTTGCCATCCCAACATCGAAATCACCTCCGCAGTGAGGCAGGAGGAGGGCTGGGCTCAGAGACAGATGGCGTCACAGCAGGAAAAGGACAGGGGTAACTCTCAAAACCCTGCTCTGATTTCCCCAGGAAGAGCTCGACGTCCTCCACGCCCTGGGATTAAGGATGCACTATGTCACTCTCCTCTTGCTTCAGGGCCTCTGAAGACACATCTCTTCTCTTCTTTTCATACTTGGGTGCGGTCATCAGGTGCATCCCCGGGTGGATGCAATGTCTTGCCTCTCTTGAAAGCTCCTGCCCCTTGTAGCCCAGCAAAACAAGAGGACATCCTCTAGCTGGTGTTACGCAGAGCATGGCTCCATCCTGCACCCTCTCATGGGAGTCCTTAGGGACTATTGCAATATTAGGGAGTATGCTCACCAGGGGATGTTGAAGCCTGAATGGCCAGTCGGTTCCTGGAAACCTCTTCCCAGTGTCACGCTAGAAAGGAAGCTGCCCTTCAGGAGGATAAGAAGATGCTCAGGATGTCCTCACAACCATACACACCCATCAGACACTCTCAGCTCTTTCCAAGTCCACCTAGCTCCTAAAGACGCACAATCCTCACATCTTCCCTTTCCAAAGAAAAGCGCTTTCCATCCTGGTGTGGCTGGGGTGGAGACTGTTTTGACGTGGGTTTCTATATCCAGTGGGTTCCTGAGATTGAGAGTGATATAGAGAGAGCAAAATTCATAGATAAAACCACAAGGTTCTCCCTGGCCCTTTGTAATCCTTTGCTGGGGAAGGGCAGATCCAGCCTAGACTGCCAGAGATGCTCCCTTCTTTACGCCAAACTCCTATTCCCTCTCAGCAGACCTTATGCTTAGCTTTATCTGTAATGAAGTATCTTAAGATCATGGTACTTCTCAATGCCTTTCTGTATCAAATCCTAGAAAATGAGAGTGGAAGGGACCTCAGGACATCACATCTAGTCCAACCCCCTGCTCCAAGCAGGACCAGCCCCAACTACATCATCCCAGCCAAGGCTTTGTCTACCCGGGTCTTCAAAACCTCCAAGGATGGAGAGTCCACAATTTGAGCCCATTATGCCTTGTTCTGTCATCTGCCACCACTGGGAATTGTCCAGCTCCATCCCAACTTCTGCTTGGTGGACCAGGCAGCTTCACACTTTCAGTGCAATTTCTGAGAGGTAAAATATCTCAGGGCATGTCTACACGTGCATTTACATGCTTTAGTTAATGTGCATTAAATTTAGTACCTCCATTGTGAGGTACAGAAAAATCCCTATTATCCAGCATGAGTGGGGAATGGAGGGTGTGGGAAATTTAAAAATACCAGTTACCTGAGGCACAGGGTTTCCAACTGGACGTGGAGTGGGGTGAAGGGGAGGAAGGATTGGGGTGGCTGCAAGTGGTGGCAGCTGCATGAGGGATGGTGTCTGGAGCTGCTGCCCAGGGATATAAAGAAAACGAAAATGTGGCTTCAGCTTGAACAAAACTATTTGCATATTCAAGTTGAATCAAGGACTCATTTCAGGTTAAAAAAAAAAAGGGGTGGGAGGGCAGAAATTTGGGGAAATGTCAGAATCATGTCAGCATTTTCCGAGAAGAAACATTTTATTAAACATTTCCATCTTGCAAATGACAGTTTTGGGGTGAGGCTGGAACCAATCAGAAATTAATTTAATGCTAACAAGTTTTAAGATGGGGGTGGGGGGGAACAGAAAATGAAGCAGGTGTTGGTCAAACTTTTTTTTTGACTCAAATGACATTCTTGGGAGGGGTTTTGCTTTCATTTGGGCTTCACTGAAAATGATGTTTTTTATTAGTAGACTGTGGTTGTCCCTCCCCCAAAATATAGGAGGTTTTCACTCATTTCTCTGCAGCTGTCTTCAAAGGATCTCAGGGCACCCCCGGGTACCCCAGCACCCTGGTTGAGTGCCCCTGACTTATCAATTCCCATCTCGTCTCTCCACAGCCTCCTAAAAAATGCACGCTGTCTGATCTCCAGGCTGTACCCAGTGCTGGCTTCTCCCATCAGGGCAGCATGTTCTTTTCCTTCTTGAACAAGCCCATCCAGGCCTCATTTATGGGGGACCTTGTTCAGAAAATTGCCACCTTGCCTGTAAATCCCTCTGGGCTGGGTTGAGCTGCAATGTGCTAGGCAGGCACTGGATGTCCCTTTGGGTAGGGAGCTGGCCCAGGAGAGGAGGTCCCTGGTAAACAAGAGGAACCAGGAAGGGACCAGAGTTGTGTGCATCCTGTTTCTTTGGACGTTGGGTTATAGCTGGTTTCTTTGCCTTCTCCCAAAGATGGATTTTGCATCTGTAGCACAGAAATCTTCAGAGATTTGCTCCCTCTGTCATCAGCCTGCTCCCCCCTCTGCTCTTTCCCCTTCCCTTGCTCTGTCCTTTCTCTCAGCTGTGCTGTTCTTGGCATGAGAAACTTTTTCTCTGCAGCTCCTGCCATGCAGAACAACCTTGCTTTATGTGCTCCTTAAAACACACGCTCGTCTAAGCAGGCATTTGTCTCACCTGAGATGGGTAATGCCTCCTGCTTTAATTTGCTCGCTACCCAGTGTTTGCACACTGAATGCATGTCTATGCTACCACTTGGGGTGGTTATTAGGACTGCTCTCAAATCCAAATCTGCTGTTTATACTGGAAAGCTTGATCTGTAGTATAAGCTTGATTTCTAGCAACAGTCCACCCTGGCCCTGGATGCCCTGTTGAAGCGCAACGCCTGAGTTTGAGCTGCTAGCAGTCCTTTGACAATGTCTTGTTCCTGCTTTTAGGCCCTTCTGGACCTGATTTTCTGTCCCTACTGCCCACTAGCAAAAATAAGCACAGCGGGAGACACAAGGAGAGGACAGGCTGATAGTCAGAGAGATGCCACTCAGGGTGAGGATGCCCCTTAGGTGGCTCCTAAATATCAGTACAGACATGGCCACTTGCACCCTAGTGCTGTTCGTCTCTGTGAAAAATCCTGTGGACTCTCACTTGTATGACAGATAGTAAATGATGCTGCATTGCACCTATCCCAGAGCCGATGGGGCTGAGCTATCAGTCGTGCCCAGCTCTGCACCGTGGTACGGGCACACCGGGTCTGCTTCATTGCTGCAGAGAGGTTTCTTTTATTCCATCATCAGCATCACATAGAGAAAATGTTTTAATCCGTTGTAAAAATGCCAGCTCCACGACCAGGCTGTAACTAGCCAGCCTAGGGAGAGCACAGCAGATGCAAAGCCAGCATAGGGACCACTTCCACTAGCTGCCTCTCTCTATCTAGCAGAGGGGATGTGCTGGGTCAAGAAAAGGCAGCTGTAGCTCCTCACCCTACAGGGATGTATCTCAGACAGGCCATAGCAAGCCATAAATCAGAGTGGTCTCTAGGCTGCTCTACTTCACACAAAGGGCCACAGCTGAGCTCATGACATCAAAGACCTGTAACCAGCTTCAGGACATCCACACGTGCTGTCTGTGTCGAGTGGCAATGGCCATAGAGAAGCCCGTAAGGTCTGTGTCTCAACTGGCATGAAAGAGGATTCAAGCCTAGGTCCCAGGAGAGCTGGGCTGAGTGTGGCTGTGCTCTCGGGCACATCTCAGTTGCCAGTTCCCCGTCCATGCTGCATTTCGGTGAGGCTGGGGAGTTGCATCTACCTCTTGCTGGGTTTCTGCATGTGGGTGCATTCGTTTTGAGGCATGCAGGGTGCTTGGCTACTTCCATCGGGTGAAAAGCTGGTACCCACAGGATGGAAGAAGAGATTGTGAGAGACTATTAAAACCGTAGTTTGCATTTTGCTTTCCTTTACTCCGCTCACAGGCACACCCGAGTGCAGAGGGATTTGCACGTGGGAGGGGTGGATTTTACTCTCTGGGTGTAATTCAAAGCCCTGTGGCTTCCACTGCGGCTGTTCTTGAGTAAGATCTGACCTCTGGGAACTCGCAGCAAGCGGGTCGCCAGGATGGGAAAGAGACCGCTGGTCTGGGAATTACCCTAGCGCCTCGCTGACACCGCATCTGGCAGGAAGAGCAGTCTTGTGGTTGACTGCAGCGGGTTCAAACTGCAGATCACAGTATAAATCATGAAGGTCGTGACTGTCCTGTGAGGAACAAACACATTGCACTGCTTCCCCCTGCCCGCTACCTCTTTCCAACACAAGCTGGCAAGGAGGTGCCCCAGAGTCTCCCCCTGCTCCCGTCGGGGGGAAGGTCAGGCTGCAGATTTGTGGTCATCTTGCCCAGGCTGTGCGCGCTGTGGATGGGTGAGGCAGGGCAGAGAAACTCCTTTCTACTTTAGCCACTGTTTCAGAAGTGGGGGTTGCCCAGATGTTTTCCTGGCTTTCCGTGGGAACAGCAACTGCTCAGCATCGCTGAAGATCAGGCGCAGCAATGAGGGGAGATCCATAGCCTGCAGCTGGGGTGGTTACTTTGGGCTTGTGTTGGCTAAGCCTAGCATGGAGCTTGAATCTGAGCATCCCCAAGCTTGCATCTTGGCCATGGCTCATCTCGGGTTTTGGAGAAGAGGTGCAAGGTGCTGCACAGGCCACAGCCCATTTGGGAGTCTGTGTAGGCATAGGATGGACCCTGCGTGGGCCAACAGACTGTCCACAGACAGCGGGACCAGGCCTGGGCAAGACTGCAGAAAGATGCGTGTGTGCGCGTGTGCGTGCATGCATGCCTTATACGTACATGTTTGCACACACACGCACACATACATACATATACATACACACACATATATACATACATTTTAAAGGCTTCACATATATACGTGCATACACATACACACATATGTACACATACACACACGCATACACACATATGCATACATACATATACACACACACACATATATACATACATTTTAAAGGCTTCACATATATACGTGCATACACATACACACATATGTACACATACACACACGCATACACACATATGCATACATACATATACACACACACACATATATACATACATTTTAAAGGCTTCACATATATACGTGCATACACATACACACATATGTACACATACACACACGCATACACACATATGCATACATACATATACACACACACACATATATACATACATTTTAAAGGCTTCACATATATACATATATATACACACACACACACACATATATATATACGCACATACACACACATATACCTATGTATGTAGACATGCAGCATCCAGTGAAATGAGCTGCAGCTCACAAAAGCTTGTGACACACTCACACTCTCACACACACACTTTGGTTAGTCTCCAAGGTGCAAATCTACCTTGCCTTCTACAAGGCTGCAAACCAGAAGGGCCGGGTCGGGGACAGACTTGGTGTGACTGGTCTCAGGAAAGGACGAGGCGAGGTGACCTGGCAGCGATCAATAAAGCCAATTGCCGATTGCCATTGTGGCAGCAACCTGCTGGAGCATGGCTCGAAGGCTGAGCAGCCCTCCCTGCTTTCAGTGTTCGGGAATGGGAGACGGGGACACAGGAGGGAGGAAGCAGTGAAGCACTGTAGATCTGGCTGGGAAACAGCTTTTTTTTCCTTTGAGGAATTTTCAACATTGAAAAGGAAATCCACAGGAAACCCTGAAATCACCATCCCAGCTGCAACTTGATTTCCCCCTGTTTCAAACTTTCTCTGAGGCCCATCGCAATATTCGCCTTCATCCCAGCCCACAGGTTGCCTTTCAATTTCAGCTTTGTAGAAAGATCGGTTTGGCATGAAAATACCCCAAAATGACAGGAGGAAAAGCCTTTTGAAAGCGAGTCATGGCCGTTCTGCTCCAAAATGATCACAAAGGAATCGTCTGACTCATTCCAGAAGCTTCATTTGGCTTTTTGGGGTTTTTTTTTTGGCTCAGAATAAAGTGTGGCTGGAAGTGACATGTTCCCAGGCACGGTTTCTGTTCTGACTTGGGGCTTTGCTGCAATGAAAACACTTTTCCACTGGGCCGTTTCTGAGCAGATGACTCTACCTGAACCAAGCAACCCCCACTGGA